CTATTCTAGCCTAGCCTTCCTTCAATTTGTTGGGTATACTCTCAGCAGGGTTTTAATCTCCTGGGTTTCTGTTTGGATCTTTTTCACAGATTCCATTTCTTTCCTGTGTTGGGCATTCATGGTTTCCATTGTTTTCCTGAGCTCCTCTATTTGTTATCTGTGTCTGCTTTAATGTGGCTTATTTTGTACTTATTTTGTAATGTGGCTTATTTTATTTTATTTTTTGTACCTTAGACATTATTTTTTCTATATCCTCTTTTATTTGTTTTTTCACTTCTGTTGCTATCATTCCAGAAAGTTCCATTGGGTGGCTTCTAATTTCCTCTGTCTTATTGTGCTCTGGAGTTGTCGTGCGTGGGCTGGCATCTGGGGCTGCATTTCACTTCTGTGTCTTGTCATTTTCTGTTTTTTATTTTATTTTGTTTTCTCTGTTGATACGTGTAGATTTCTTATGGCAGATAGTTTTATCCCTAGTCTCAAGGCTTCCTTAGGAAATGTCTGTTTCTCAGGGATGTCTTCTAGTATTGGCGGTGCTTGGTCTTCGTGGCCACCCAAAGAACTTACCTTCCCAGTATATTGAGGATAAGAAGTTGTTACCTGTTGGTACAGCCCTCAGCCCTTGGGACTGGATTATGGTGGTGGTAACCACCCCATACAATCACAGTGTTGTCATACAGGAGAGAAACACTGATGATAACAGGTATGATATCCTGGCTGAAGTAGTACAGTTAGCAATAACAATGTCTTGAGCATGGCCTGGTTACTGACAAACTGAGGTATCTGTTAGCCTGATAACCTCTAATCATAGGAGCAAACTCTGCAGTCACATAACAGATTCCAGCACATACTAGGAACTCCTATGCAATGCTTTTCCCTTTAGTGGAGTGATTTTTACCCTGTTGTGAGGTGGGGTCAGGGAGGGATTAAGGGGCAAGACAGACCAATGAATGAGGTCCAGTATAGTAGGAGCAAGGCTGGAGGGCAAAGGACGATCACCCATATTATGAGAAACTAGAGGACACAGGAGAGAAAGAATGGAAGAAAAAGTGGAAGAGTATTGAAGTGAACCAGGCGGAGAAGAGACAATGTTTATTCACATGAAAGTATTATAAAGTCAAGCAAGAGAGAATTGACAAAGGAGAATAAGAAGACCTATAGATGAAAACAAAAATGAAGGTAATAAATCTAAGTGGTGAAAAAGACCAAAATTAAAAAACAAAAATAGCCATAAAAAAGCAAGAGGAAGCTAAGCTAAACAAAAAGGAGCCCAACTGGACAGAAAAAGGAAAACCAATCAAACAAACATAGAAAAACAAGCATAGTAGAATTCCTTTGGTGTTCACGGTTCTGTGGTAGGTCCACGTTTGATCCCAGAAATGTGCTGTGTGCTCCAGCCAAGTTTGAGTGGGATTTGTGCTGGGCATGGGGCTGCTCTTGGCGTTTGGATGTGGGGGCTGGGGCTGGTGCTCTGTTGCTGGATTTCTCCCGGAGCCCTTGGAGGTATCTGTATCTGTATCTATATTCCCCACCCCCCACCTGCTTCTTCTTCTTTTTTTTTTTTTTTTTTAAATAATTTTCCACTTTTTTTTTGTCTTTTTCCTTTTTATCGGTACTGGGAATCGAACTCACGACTGCCTGCTTGCAAGGCAGGTGCTTATGCCGCTGAGCTAAATCCCCAGCCTCTCCCCCCACCCCCTACCTGCTTCTATTCTGTGTGTCTGACGTGTCTGCATGTCTCTTGTGAGACGGAGCCCAGAGCTGGCTCACCTGATTCATCAGCAGCTGGTGTGTGCACTGCCACTGCTGCCTTGGTCACTGGGGATCCCTGCCTGGGGCGGTCTGGGTCACTTGGGTGCACCCCTGCAGCCATTCTAGTTCTCTAAAAGTTCACTTCTGTCCTTGTTTATTTTCCCAAGAAGGACTTTCCTCAAAGTGAAAAAAAGCCCTCTTTTTGTGACAGCCTTGGCACCCTGTCGTCATCCTCCTGGGCATATTTCCTGCTTCTCCCTCCGCCCTGCGGCGAGCCTGCAGCACTCTCCCCGTGGCCAGCCCAGGTCTGTGTGTTCTCTGAGCTGCTTCCTCAGCTCGAGATGGGGTGGCAGGAAAATGGGGAGCCGAGGAAGGAGGAAGTAGCCAAAAAGGCCACAGCCTCCCCCCCAGCCTGGGATGACAGCTCTGGCTCTTGGTCTGGGGTCTGAGAAGGGGTAGTCGGTTCGAGGGAAGTAATTCCTATCCCCCAGAAGGAGTCCTTGCTCCGTTCCTTCTCCTCTTGCCCTCAGCGTGGGCACGGGGGTGGGCATTAGAGAGGTGCAGAAGAGCCGGGAAAGAGTGTTCCATGGGGACAGCGGCTCTGGGCTGGGCAGAGCCTGGTCCTTGAGGTGGAGGAGGGCCTCCTAAGGAGGTGACTCAGGGCCCGAAAGGGTGGACATGGGTTTGATGGTGACAACGGAGGAGGATGCAGAGAGGAAGATCTGGGGCTGGAGAAGCAGGCTGAGCACTTCCAGGGGAAGCGCAAGGAGGGCTTGGAGGGAGAGGAATGGAATCAGGCTGGAAGGTGAGCAGGGACAGGCTACAGAAGGTGCTTCTTAGGCTCGACCTTTCTCCAAGGCCAGTGGGAGGGGCCCAGAGACTTTGGAGTGAGCCCTGGCGGGACAGCTTCTGCTCTGCAGGAGGTGCAGGGGAAGTGGACTGCGGCAGAGCTGGATGTGGGCCGCCTTGGTGGCCCTTGGTGGAAGGTGTGGAGGGAGGACCGGGGAGTTACTGATGGGTGACCTGGGTGACCCCCTGTCTCTTGTAGCCGCTGGCAGTGTACCTGTCCTGGCTGGGACTTCTCAGGAAAGCCCTGGGTCCTACAGTGCTCGACCTTATATGTTAGGCACACCCCAGGGCTTCGCCGGAAGACACAGCTGGTTCCAGGGGCTCTGGGTTCCACCCGTTAGGGTGGTCTGCAGGGCACCGTGGGTGCTGGGAACTTCCTCTGAATCTCTCTTCTCGAAAGTGCCAAACCATCATCTTCCCCATTGCCAGTCTCTGTATGACTGAGCGGCTTCTTGATGTGTCACCGCATCCTGCCACATCCCTTGGTCGGTCCTGACCACTGGCTCATTTTTCATCCTGACAGAGAGTGGCGTGTTCAGGACCTTGGCCTCTCTGGTCTGAGGCGCCCATGTTCCTTCTTGTGGCCCACAGGGTCCTGCGTGTTTGAAACCATCTATTTCCCTCTTTATTTTTAAGTCTTCAATAGAGTTTGCTGTGTGAAAGAAAGTGGGGCTGGGGATGCACCGGAAGGTTTGATTCAATTTTAATGCCAAGTCGCACAGCCTACGGTCCTTACCTTTTCCATGTGTCTCTTATAGTCCTCACTAAGGGTCTCATGTTTGAGTCTGTTGAGATAACTTGTATTAGCTTAACAAGAGAAAAGCCAAAACACTTTTTTTCAGTACTGGAAATCGAACTCAGGACCTCGAGGTTGTCAGGCAGGCACAGTGCTGCTGAGCTATATTCCCGGCCCTGGAAAGCGAAAACTTTTATTTTATTTCACTTTAAAGAGGATAAAACCATGGAAAATAAAACAATAAAATCAATAAAAAAATAAACCAGTATAAGTGAATCAGGACTTCTGAACCTTACAGAAACCAACAATAGTTACCTTAATGCCTTTTGTTATCTTCAAAATAGCTGCAGATAATTTTGGTCGAACAGAACAGAATAGAACAGAAACAACAAAATCGAATAGAAAAAAAATTGAACAGAACAGAAAGGAATAGAAACAGTAAAGCCAAAACAGTGCATGCAATAAAGGACTTTGAAACAAGCCACTTAGCAAATCCAAGATGGCTACCATAATGTCTTGTTATCTTTCCAATAGCTGCTCCTGCCTCAGATTTAACATAATCAAACAAAAGAGAAAAAACCCAACCCAACAAAACAATGAAAATGATGTGGTTTCCTGGCCAGGATTGCTTCCTGGGGAGGCCTGGACAATCCCCACCCAATGCCCCCATAGTCCGCAAATGGCTCTGACTCTCTGAGAGAGGCTTGGGTGTGGCTGGAGCCAAAATTTAAAACAGGTTTTTTTTTTTCTTTTTTGTCTTTTTCATTTTTATCGGTACTGGGGATCAAACTCATGACCGCCTGCTTGCAAGGCAGGTACTTATGCCACTGAGCTAAATCCCCAGCCCTAAAACTTTTTTTTTTTTCATTTTTGTCGGTACTGGGGATCGAACTCACGACCACCTGCTTGTAAGGCAGGAGCTTATGCCGCTGAGCTAAATCCCCAGCCCCTAAAACAATTTTTTGATCATAGTTTGACATGACACAGGAGCCTTAAGGGTGAAGACCCTGGGACCCTGGAGGAAGTAATCCCTTTTTGTACTTAGGTTCAAGGATGCTGGGACAGCCACGTGGCACAGGGGCCTGAGCTGATGAAAGTATAGAGACCCCGATCCCTCTGGGCCCTCAGTGGTCACCTTTCTTCCACCGAGGTGTGGGGTGGAGCCCTTTCTGGAAGCAGTCTGTGACCTATAATCAAAAATGGCAGGTGTGAGAATTTTGTCATGGCCAGCTCTGCACAGAAAGACGGGGGGAAGCTAAAGTAATATTTGCAGGTTTTACAGCTGGTGTCAGCGACGAGGGCTCTGGTTTCTGTGACTTGCCTTGGGGAAGAGGAGTTCTAATCTCCGTGGCTTGCTTGGGGAAGATGAAGGGGCAAGAGACAGAGATCAGAATCAGAGACAAGCTGCTTCCCAGCTCTTCGCTTGTGAACCGGGCCATCATTTCTAAGCCCCGACACCTTTACAATACAAACAGATTAGTTTTTGGTACAGGATTAATCGAATGTGGTCACATGGAAGCCTGATAGATGCAATCTGCCCTTCTTCGTGTTTCCAGGATTTCATAGTCCCCGGGTTTGTCTGGGAAGGAAGCTAAGGGGGAAAATCCAAGACCGACCAGCGTTTTGCTGATACTGATGCCCTATCCACCTCTTGTTCTCCTGCTAGGCCGACTGTGACCCAGGGAGAGACCAGGTGCCAAAATGTTCTGCTATAGACGGAAACCACCCGGTAAGTACTGCACTCTTCCCACGGCACGAGGAAATACGGATTTTTAGTGTTCTTTTCATTCTCATGGAGGTTTTATTTACAAGACAACGACAATGACAGCAGCCTCACACACAGGTCACAAGTGTGCAGTTCAATAAGCTTTGACAACTGTATATTCCCAGTGGCCTCCAAAGGTGTAGGACACAAGATGGGACATTTCTGTCCCCGCAGAAAGGTCCCTCCTATGTCTTTTTATTTTTATTTATGTCTTTTTATTCATCTTCCTTAAATCTCCCACAGTGACCTTTTATATTCTATCAGTTTAGTTTTGCTTATTTTTAAATGGCTAGAAATACTGAAACAGTATAGAATACATTCTTTTGTTGTGATTCTTTTGCTCAGCATGTGGTTTTATTTGGGCCACATAAACATGGCTGCAGGTTGGTTAGTTTGTTCTTCATTTCTTTTTTGATGTTCTTTTCTTTCTTTCTTTCTTTTTTTTTTTTGAGACAGACTCTTGCTATGTAATTTAGGCTGGCCTTGAATTTGATTGTGCAGCTCAAATTGATCTCAAATTCGCAGTGATCCTCCTGTCTCAGCTTCCAAGTGCTGGGATTATAGGCGTGTGCCACCATGCCCAGTCTTTCCACTGTGTGACTATGGCAACATTTAAAACTAAATTCGTATAATACCGATAATTTTAGTCATAATAACAGGAAACCCACTTTGGAGTGGTTGCTTTCTTGCTTGAGTTTTCGGTCCACTGAGTATAGGTTGGTTTTTCCTCTCCTGAAATGTTTGGGATTGGAAGAATTTTGTTGGTGGTGTTTTTTTTTTTTTTTTTTTTGTCTTTTTTGAGACGAGGTCTTGCTATGCAGCTCAGGCTAACCTTGAGCTCACTTTGTAGCTCAGGCTGGTATCGAACTCGCAACAATCCTCCTGCCTCAGCCTCCCAAGTGCTGAGATTATAGGCGTGAACCACCACGCCTGGCTAGTTGTTGATGTTTTTTTAAATTTACCTGACTAAACATCCCCAATCTGAAATTCAGAATACTCCAAAATCTGAAATTTTTAAAGTGCTCCAAAAATGTTTCAGATTTCAGAGTTTTAGGTTAGGGATATTCAACCTGTAGTATCCGGTTCTGTTGTGTGTACCCCAGCTGTAGAGTACTTACCTCTCTCTAGTCAATCAGTGGACCTCAGGTCATTTTCACTTCGGTAGACTTAGCTGGCTTTATTACTCTATCATTGTTTCAGACTCTTTAGAGACTGCTTTGGATTAGAGGTTAGCTAATACCCTGCTCCTGCTCCTCACAACATGCCAGACAGGAGCTTAATCTGATTATAAAGGTGATCACCTTCGCTGTCTCCTTGGACAGGGAACCCTTGCTTCCTTTACCCTCATAACCAACAAAATTCCCACTCACAGCCCATTAGTTATGCTCTCTGGGTGATACTTCCATATTCCTAGAGGCAACCTGAGAGTCTTTATATCAACTCACAGGTGTAATCTTTTTTTTTTTGTTCGTTTGTTTTGTCTTTTCGAGATGGTCTCGCTATGCAGGTCAGCCTGGCTCTGAGCTCACTGTGTAGCCCAAGCTGGTCTCAAACTTGCAACAATCCTCTTGCCTCAGCCTCCCATGTGCACAGGTATAACCTTAATTTTGTACACACAGGCACGTTCTTGGCAAGACCTAGTGTGGCAAAGCTTTGATAGATTAAGAACACGAATGACATCTGGGTCTCACTCTCTTACTAGTGAGTGTACACATGTAAAAGTGGGCAAACTTTAATAATCAAAGTAAGAAAATGGAAGTCACCGTCATTGTTATATCTTGTGATCAGCCCTCGAGGCTGCTGTGCCTGTGCATTGTGTGACCTCAGTGACCACGTCTGTTGGCCTCGTGATGTGGAGTCACGCTGATGTTATATTTAAGGCCCGTCTTTACACTTGATACGGTGATTGTAGATTTATGTCTTTGAATACTTCTCTATAAAATTATTCTTCTCTGTAGTTCCTGTGACTCTTAATTTTGAGAATATCGAATTTTACAGAAAAATTGAAAAGAGGAATACAGTGCAAGATGAGTGTATTTCACCGACATCCTACAATGTTGTTGTTTTAGATTTCTTCTCTTTCTCTGCACAGACATGCTTATTCACACACACACTTGCACACGCATACACGCACGCACGTTTGCTTGTCAAACCATATGACAACAAAAGCATGACATTAAACCCCCCAAATTGCAACACACATCTCTTAAGAACAGGCTGTTCTCCTACATAACCTCAGTATCAGAAATGTAACATTGACAAATAGCGTACACTTCGTCTTTCAGTTTCTCCACTTATTTGTGGATATCTCTTCTCCGAAAGCTGGTTTAAATCTTCTGGTATAATATCCAGTCAACTTTCATATACTGAGTTTGCATTTGAGCTCTCTTTTTAAAAAAAAAATTAGAATAATTTTCCCATTATTTCAAATTTTAGGAACGTCATTTTGCAGACTTTTCTAGTAGAGTGTAGTTAATTCCTGCTAAATCACTTTGAATTGAACATTTTGGCACAAATATTATGTCAATAATATTCAGTTTTTAATTGAAATTTAGCTAGATATTGACAGCTTTTTTGGTGAGGAAAGTGATGTGGATCTTCCTGACACAGAATGTTCTGGAACAGAGGCTGTGTGCACCTCTATGTAAGGAGACTCAATCTTTCCCCACACAGCTGTGTCTGCAGAGCTGAGGCCAGGCCCTCCATGTTGGACTTGGCATCAAGCCACACAATGTGAGAGAGACTGACGTTTGTGTTGATTGTCACTGTATGATCATGACAGAGAATGATGCCTCTGTCCATGACCTTAATTCCTCTGAACCTCACTAGAGAGTAGAGAGCTTCTTACCTGTAAAATATTTACTTACTCAGCCAGCTAACATTTTTAAAAGTGTAATTAAAAAATTTTTTTAATCGGCGTGTAATTGTGCATATTTTGTGATATTTCAATACGTGTACACAATAGATAATGGTCAGGTCAGGATAGTGAGCCCACCCCATCACCCCAGGCGTTTGTCATTTCTATTTTGGCAGACATTTTTGAACTCTTTTTACAATTCGGTAAAATCATCACATTCTCACAAGAAATTAAAAATGTAAAAATTTTAATAGCAATGATGTGTCTTCAGTCAGCTAAGCGCCACCCCAGTGTTGCGCTAGTGAGAGGAGTAGCATGGACGGAGAGCGTAACCAGCCAGCGTTGCTGGGACAGCATTACTGCGCCTCCTCTGTGCACTGGACAAGGGTGCTATCACACCTACCTAACCTGGTGCCACCTCAAGAAGTGAAGGCCATCAATAATCCGTGTGAAAAATATGCAAGCCAGACATAGCCAGCCCCCCCCCTCCGCCCCCCGGGCTGTCTTGTTTATCTCCATAGTCACAGAAAGCCTTGCACACTTTAAGATGTGAAAAATTAAATTCTGGCCAATTGACTCAGACTTTTCTTTCTTTTTTTTTTTTTTTTTATCGGTACCGGGGATCAAACTCACGACTGCCTGCTTGCAAGGCAGGCACTTATGCCACTGAGCTAAATCCCCAGCCCCTTGACTCAGACTTTTAAGACACTCTGGCTGATGGTGACTTTTCCCTTTCTGAGTGGCATGCACAGGAGAGCAGAAGCCCTGCTGTTTCTGAGTGTGTCTGTCTGATGGAGTCATGGTGGGGGTGTGCTCAGATCTCATGGTTTTGGTATAACTTGGAAGCAGAAGAAGTGGGGATAAGAACTTTCTTTAAGCTGCTGCAGATGCTCTTGCCTGGAAGTGGGGGGCTGTGGAGTCAGGCCCTCTGCCCTGTGAGGGAAATGTCGAGATTGTCCATGGAGCCTGGGCTGGGCTGGCCATGTGATCTGTCTTCCTTGGGCCCCAGGTGCAAAACTGTATTTATGACTGTGTTAGAACAATGACTAATATCATTTAAACTGGATTCATCATTATGTATCTATTGCTGTTTTATTCATTGGGTCTTTGGATTATAAAACAAACAGGAATTAGAATCTTTTTTGTTCTGGGGGCCGTGGTGGGCCCTGGGGCTCTCTGCCTGTTGTGCCTCCTGAGTGAGTCACCCTGATCCCTCCAGAGGTGCTGGGCCTTCCGGGAGCTGTAAGGGACCAGCGGCTTCTGAGACAGCTCCTTAGGGCAGTGTGGGTTGGCCACATGGAAGGGGCTCTGGGGGTGCTTGGTGTGATAGCGTAGCACTTTGGAATCTTGGGGTGCAGCTGCACAAGTTTAAAAATCTTGTGACCATACAGATGTATTTTCACAACACAATCACAACTTTCAGGGTTTTTTTTTCCCCTTCAGTTTACACAGACATATGACTGTAGGTGGCTGTGACGAAAAATGGGCGGTACGGGAAAGATCAGCAGGGTAGGGGTTTCCTGGATTTGACCAGACTGGGTGCTCTGGTGAGGGAGCTTTATCATGATCTGGGGGCTGACTCTACTTCACAACAGACACCTGAGTCAGAAGCACCAGCAGGAAACCCGGGTCCCACCGCCTGTAGTCTGGTTCTCAAATCCTCCAAGGCTCATCCTTCTCTTGACAATTAGGACCTAGATCTCCAAAGGTTACTGTGAGGATGAACAGAAAATGAAATGATACACAGGAGGCAATTATAGAAGCATCCCTGTACTGCTGACTGCTGAATTAATAGATGTGTGTTATGTAGTGCATTGATTTCTAGTTTTTACTCTGATCCTAGGCTTTGCACAAGTCCTTTTGTCCAGTGTCATGGCTGACACGAGTCCTGTGTGTACGGCTGGGCTTCCTAGCTAACCCTAACCCTAAGGAACTCTTGGGGCTCTGATGTCAGAGGATGTCTGGAAGCCCCAGGCCTCTTCTGCTTCCCTCAGGCCTGCTAATTTTGCAAGGGCCATTCATTTATGGGGCCTCCATGAAGGCTTACAGCATGGTCAGTGCTCTGGCTGGAGTTTATGTATCTGCTTGTGAGCTTTTCTGTGTTGTC